ACCAAACGAATTCCATGGAGTTAAATGACCAAAATACAGGAAAATGAGGCAAAATCATCTTCTAGTCTGCTGGAAAAAAAAATTAAATTAAAAAAAAAGAATTATTTTCTAATAATTCTAATTTACTTTTGTTGCCAGTGGGTGTTTGCTACAGGGGAGATGATAAAGCTGGGCAGGACCAGGCACGGCGTGGGACAGGGGATTTTGGGAATGATTCACTCCCAAAGCCTCCCGCAGAGGTATTTCTGATGGAAAAAAAAAGAAAAAGCCAAAATAGATTAGTTGAGGCTTTTTGAAAGAAAAATAGAGGTTTTACAGAAGTGACCCTTCCCACCAACCTCCCCAATTTTCTTTTTAATAAGGAATAAAAAGCCTTTCAGCCAAAAAAAACCTTTGCTATGAAAACGTGTGTTTGGGTCAAAAAGCCACTTTTCACTGGGGGGAAAATAAACCAACAAAACCCCCCTGACCAATGCACGAAGAGATGGGTTGGCAAATCTCACAGGGACATACATCTTCTTTAGAGGCAACATCTCATCTCTTCTCTTCTCTTCTCCCTCCTCATCCTTTAGTCCTTCTCCTCTTTCCCTCTCCTGTTGTCTCATCTTGTATCTTCTATCCTCCTCATTTTCATCTTGTCTCTCCTCATCTTCCCTTCCCAGGTGATTGTTTTCATGTGTGGTCCATCCCAACACCCCTCCAACCTTTGTCCCCTGTTCTTTATCCATTCCCTTGGAGTGGAAATCCTGGGATTCTCCACTCACACACATTGCCTGCCACGCTGCACATTCAGCAGCTGATGCCACCTGCACTGCCAAGGCTGGGGGGCACCAGGCTGGCACCAGCTGTCCCCTTCTCAAAAAGAACCCAAACCTTCCCTCAATGGAGATCACTGGATGCCAAAGGGCATTGGAGTGTTGGGCTGGCCCTGTGGAGAGACACAGGGCCATGTCTCTGGGACAAGGGACAGGGACACAGGGCTATGTCTCCGGGACATGGGACTGAGACAAGGCACCTGCTGGGATCTGGGCCAGGGTGAAGGGACGAGGACAAGGTTATGGGGACTGGGACATAATGATGGGGACAGGGAGAGATGATGGGGACTGGGATGATGTGACTTGGACAATGTACTTGCTGGGGCCAGGAGATGGGATCAGGAAGGAGGTGCCTGCCATGATGATGAGAACCAGGACAAGGAAGCTGTTGAGGGTGTGGAGGTGGGAACAGGGATCAGGCACAGCCAGGGACAGAATCCAGAGGACCGCAAGAAGGAACCCAGCAGAGCCCAGCATGGCCTTGGGGAGCATCTCCCAGCCTCAGTCACTCTGCCCTGGCCTCGAGCTCTGCACGGAGCCCTCAGCAGTGAGGCGAGCACGGGGGCCTGGCGTGGCTCCCCCTGAGCCCTCAGCAGCGAGGCGAGCACGGGGGCCCGGCGTGGCTCCCCAAAGCCCTCAGCAGTTCAGGCGAGCACAGGGGCCTGCCGTGGCTCCCCCTGAGCCCTCAGCGATGCAGGCGAGCACGAGGGCCCGGCGTGGCTCCCCAAAGTCCTCAGCAGTGCAGGCGAGCACGGGGGCTCGGTGTGCCCCCCCTCAAGCCCTCAGCAGTGCAGGCGAGCACGGGGCCCCAGCGTGGCTCCCCCCGGGCGGCGGCGCTGCCGATCGGCTCCGCGGGCCCGGGAGCGCCGAGCGCGGGCAGCGGGCGCTCGGAGCCGGGGCCTCGCTCCCACGAGCGGATGAAAGGCTCCCTGTCCAAGCGGCATTAGACGCGCTGCGAAGGCTCATTCCCGATCGGTCACGCTCCGAGGCGCAGCTGCAAAACCCCCTCCGGGAGCCCGGGATGCTCCGGGGGCTTTGTTCGGAGCAGCCCCGCTTCCCGGGGAACCGTGACAAGACGATGGGATTACGGGGCAGGAGAAATGAAATAAAATAAAACCCAACCTCGCTGGGACCACGCTGGCTGGGCGGAAAAACAAAGGGGACCCGCAAATTCCCCCGTGCTCCTGCCAGGAACGATGGCCCCACCTGGGCGGGGGGAAGGGGCACGGAGAGGGCTTGAGGATTCCCGAGGAGGGAGGGTGGCTTTGAGGGTGTCCCCCCCATTTCTGCTCCCAAATCCCAGCACTGAGCAAGCAAGGAGTAGGAGGAAAAACCTGCAGGCAAGTAAACCTTATGAGGAGGGGAAACCTTGCATGGAGGGAAAACTTGTGAGGAAGGAAACTTCACAAGGAGGAAAACCTGCAAGGAGGTAAAGTCTTGAAAGGAAGGAAACCTCCAAGGAAGAAAACCTTGCAAGGAGGAAAGCTTGCAAGGAAGTAAAGCCTCAAAAGGAAGGAAACATCAAAGGAAGAAAATCTTGCAAACAGGAAAACTTTCAAGGAAGTAAAACCTTGAAAGGAAGAAAACCTTGCAAGGAGGTAAAGCCTTGAAAGGAAGGAAACCTCCAAGGAAGAAAACCTTGCAAGGAGGAAAACTTCACATGGAGGATAAACTTTGGGTGGGGGAAAATATCGCAAAGAAGGAAAATCTCGCAAGGAAATAAAACCTTGCAATGAGGAAACCCTTAGGCAAGGAAGGAGATCTTGCAGTGAAGGAAATACTTGAAGGAGGAAATAATTTCACGGAAGGAAAAACTTTCAATATAGGAAAATCCTTGTAGGGAGGAAAATTTTACAAGGAAAACCTTTGACAAGGAAGGAAATCTTGCCAGAAGGAAAACCTTGAAGGAGAAAAACCTTCCAAGGAAGGAAACCTGGCAAGAAGGAAAACCTTGAAGGAGAGAAACCTCCCAAGGAAGCAAATCTTGCAAGAAGAAAAACCTTGAAGGAGAAAAGCTCTCAAGGAAGGAAACCTCACAGGTTTGGAGGAAGAGAGCAGGCTGAAGGAGAGGTTCTGCACCTTCCTTCTGGGAGCAGCCCGGTCCCTCCTGGCACAGGGCCCGGCACGGTTTGGCTGAAGTTAATTGGGTTAGTGAGCGGCTAAAGGGCGTAGCTTGTCCAGGCGCCTGCTCCCTAATGAGCATCTCATTTGAATCTATGCAAAATAGCAGGGAGCATGGAGACATGCTAATTAAAGTGATTGCTGTTCGCTAATTAAGCAGCAATTCTCCTGCCCAAGAGGGTATTCTCATGCAAATGCGCTCAAGGAGGGGAAAACATCGCCCCAAAAATTGTACAGGGAGAAATTGCAATTTGGCACCGCCCCTGGTCTGCTAAACACCTTCATTATAATCCTCATTTTGAGTATTTTTATCCCAAAAAACCAGACTTGGCTCTCTTCTGTGCTGAGAACAATCCTGAAGCCCTCATCTTTTCCAGTGGCTGCCATAAATCAAGTCATTTAACTCCTCAGCCGTGCCAACCCCGATTTTGTTTTATTTTGGGGTGCTTTCTTCAGATTATGGGATTTTTAATCTGCCGAGGATTTTTCTACTCTTCATTTTCTTACTTTTTTTCCCCTTTCACACTTGTGGAAATAATGACGTCCTACAGGAAACCTCCTGAGGGATAAAATTAGGGCTGGTAAACACAGGGTAGTGCAGCGTTTTGGTCTCACAGGTTTCTCTGAAAACCATGAGATTTTATTTCAGCTCTAGTTTTTTAGGGGGGGGTTACACTTATTTTTTCTTTATTTTTAAACATAGCAACTGGGTTTCTCTGCATCCATGTGGTGCTGAATCCTTTCCTGGTGAGACTCACCTTGGGATAAATCCCTTTCCAGCTACCACTTGTGGATGTGACCAAAACCCAGCAAATTCCCACAAAACAAGGCATGTTTGGCATATTTGGGTTCTTTTGGAAGGGGTCAATGTTTGGGCACAGTATGAGCCCTTGATAAAGCCCCTTTTTGCTATTTTTAGCCCGAGTACGGGGTTCTTGGTAGCGTCATCTGGGGAAGGATGATGCATGGAGCATGTGTGGGGGCATTTCTCAGCCCTCTGGAAAAAAGCAGAGCCACTCCCTCACTCCAGCGACACTGAGCACAAGCTGCTCGCGGAGTGGGAGCCGTGGGCTCTCCGGCGTGGGGGCGAGCGGACGGGCACGGGATGACCCCGGGCGGCCGCGCAGGTGAGCGGCGCTCGAAGGGGGCACAGGGTGCCTGGTGTGTGCGACTGTCGCACACAGGTGACACACAGGTGGCAGGGCCGTGTGGGTGTGGGAGCGCGGCCGCCCAGGGCGGCACAAGCGGCCGGTCCGTGGGAGCGCAGGCAGCGGTGCGCGGTCACGGTGCCCGGTCACGCACACGAGGGCACTCCGGCCGGGTGCGCGGTGCCCGGTCCCGCCTTCCCCGTGCCGTGGGTGCCCAGTGCACCTGCTGCTCGGGGCTCGGTGCCGCGGGTCCCGGCTCACATGGACGCCCGGTCCCGGAGGTTCGGGAGCGCCGTGGCGCGGGTCCCGGAGGTTAGGGGCGCGGCTCCCGGCTCACACGGATGCCCGGTCCCGGCGGTTCGGGGGCGCTGTGTGCCGCGGGTCCCGGCGCACACAGCTACCCGCTCCCGGCGGTTCGGGGCGCAGTGCCCGGTTAACACGGACGCCCGCTCCCGGCGGTTCGGGGGAGCGGTGCCGCGGTACCCGGCTCACACGGATGCCCGCTCCCGGCGGTTCCGGGCGCGGTACCCGGCTCACATGGATGCCCGCTCCCCGCGGTTCGGGGGCTTGGTGCCGCGGGTCCCGGTGGCTCGGGTTGCGCTCTGCCCGGCGGCGCACGGAGCCCGCGGCGCCCCGCGCGCACGTGCATCCCCTCCACCCCCTCCTGTGCCCCTTAAAGGGCCCGCACCGCCCCGCTCGCCGCGCGCTCGGGCCGCGCTCACCGCCGCCCGCTCCCTCCCCTCCTCGGGCGGTGGGTCCGCCCGCGGGGCACCCGTGCTCCCCCCACCCCGGCCGGCATTGGTTCGCTCCGCGGGGCGGGGCGGGGCGGCGGCGCCTCCCCCGACACGGGGCGCCGGTGGGAGCGGGGCGGGGAGCGGAGCGCGGGGGGAGATAAGCGGCGCCGAGCGGCCGGGCGGCGCTGGATGGAGGCTCCCGCCCGCCGGGACGCCCGCCCCAGCCTGGAATGTCCTGGCGAGCCGCCGCCGAGCGGCACCGGCACCAGGACCGGGACCAGGGAGGGGGCGCGGCGGAGAGGTAACGCGCGCGCTTCCCGCCGCCGGCGCGCGCTGAGGGGGGCGCGGGCGGGCGCGCGCCGGGAGGGGCGAACGCGGCTCCTCCGTGAGGGGCGAGCGGGCCCGGGGCGGCCGCAGGTGGCGGCTGCTGTCACCCCGCAGGGCTCGCCGCGCCGCCCCGCTCCGCTGTGCGCCCTCGGTGCGCGGGGCTGAGCCGGTGCACGGCGCTCCGGGGAGCGGGACAAGCCCTCCGCGCTGCCCGGCTCTGATTTATGGTCTCATTTCGCAGGGAACGCGCCTCCACTCCTCTCTATTTGTCATTTAAACGCTGCTCCGCTTGAAGGAGGTGCCGTAGGGGATGGGTTTGGGGTCGCGTCCAGCCTCTTAACCGCCTTAAAATGGTTAATCTCAATGTTTTTAACCTGTAAGGTCACTTTTCTCTGCAATTAGAGCGGTGGAAAGTCAGTCCCTAAGGCAGGAGGTGGTGTGTGATGCCTGAGGTCTCTGGCTGTAAAGCATCCTGACATCTTATCTCTGTTATTATTATTTTTATTGCATTAAGCTGCCTACCTTCTTAAAGCCACGCGATTCTTGAATTTTAAATTACTTTCCCTTGCTTTATCTGTCTCTTTGCCAAAAACAAATATAAATTATATAGTTCCTGACTTCTCATGGAAGAACTTTCCAGCCGTCTGTCCCATGCTTCCAATGCTGATGTTTTTTAAACCAAGAGGGATGTGTGTTTCAGCCGTGACACACTGTCGGGCAGAAAACAGGCAATGTTTATTTTGCTCCCGCCTCGTAACTGTGTAAAGGCTTGGTGAAAGGGTAAATGTGATGGCTTTATGTAGCTTTTTCTTTTTAATTATTATTTTACTGCTTTCCCCCACTGCCTTGCTGCCTCTGGGAAGGAGCAGTCGCGCCGAGCCTGTGGCTGTAAAGCTGTCAGCTCTGAAGGGCTGTTTACTCAGCGAGCTGTATCTTTCACACATGCACCAGAAATACAATTTACCAACCCAAACAGCAGCTCCGGTCACCGGGGTGACGGGCAGCGTGGACGCTTTGCTGCTCTGCGGTTTTATCCTTCGTGGCCCGGCGTTTTCCTTGAACAAAGCAGGTAATCCTGGGGTGCTGGCGCTCCCAGCCGAGCTGTGGGGAGCCCGTTCGCTTTTCTCCTCATCTCCCCCGACCCGGCTGTTTTGACAGTCGCGATTTATGGGATGTACAGCCTGCCCGGAGCTGCTTTAAGGAGAAAAAGTGCTTTTGTGGTAGCGGTTGCTGCGGGTGACGGCCAGCTACTTTTATATTCCAAAAATTCGCAGCGAACCTTTCCCGGCACAATTCCTTAATGCTTTTCTGTCGAACTTGATATTATTTGCCTTAATTACAGCCAGCATGCTTTTGTTCCACCAAATTAAAGTAGGTGTCGAGAGCATGAGTCAAACGCATTGAAACCAAACCCTGCTTTTTTGGAGCAGCTGCAAGCCTGTCTTGTGGGGAGGACTTGGTAATGGAGTGATTAAAAAGAAATAAATGTTTTTGACCTGTATTCCCCTTTCCATAAGAAGAGGGAAACCTCTGACTGGCTTGGTCTCCACCCCAGAAAATCCTCAGGCTTGTGGGGAGACCCATGACTGTTGCTCAGAGCTGTTGAAAGCTGGACTCAGATAGAGGGTGGGATCCACTGAGTTACCTATCATGTTAAAAGGTGGTGGTTTTTTTCCTCCTCAAGGGGTAGGAAGCGAGATGGGAACTGCTGCGGTGTGGAGGGATTAGTAACTCAGCCGAGGATGAGCGGGATGTGGCTTTGTCGCCTGGATTAATGTGATTTACACCCTTAAGCCGCTCCAAGAGCTCGTAAACAGCCGTGCCCGTGTGTGCAAGGTGAAGTGTGGGCGGGCAAGCTCGGGTACACCACGGGAAGTACCTTGAGGGGCTGGTTTTTGCCATCCTTCATGCAATCATGGTGATTTCTCATCCTTTTTCTCTAGTTTTCATCCTTTTTGCCCCCAAACTCTGTGTTCTTTGCCCCCAAACCCGATATAGTAGCAGTGGGGTTTGGGCTGGCCTCCCTGTGTGCCCTTTCTGCTGGATCACTGGGCTGATCTGGTGCTAAAATTCTTAGGTTTTACCCCAAAACTGAGGGGGGGATGGAAAAAAGCCTTGCAAGGAGAGGCCTGACTGCAGGGCAAGTCCCACCAGTGCTTTCATTATCTCAAGGTGTGCTGTAAGCCCATAAACGAGGCTCCTGCTTACTTTGGCTTGCTGGTGTGCCAGAGGAATAAGGCAGCTGTGCTCTGACTTCAGGTGATGTCACTTGAGAATTTTAACTGTCAGAGCTTAAAAATACCCTGGCTTGTTTAAAGACTGCTTCTGCAGATGTGGGAATGGGGAAGCAAAGCAGTGGATTGTGAGTGCACAGCCACGTCAGGCTCCAGCATCTCATAAATCCCCCTCTGCCTGTCCCACAGCAGAACTGCTCTGCCTGACGAGGCCTCAGGTGTACCATGAGCAGGGCATTAATTGTGGGTGCTCGAGATGAGGCACTGCCATGAGCTGCAGACCAACAAAATTAGTGTCAAAAAAATAATGGGGAAACGTGATGATTAATTAGTTTTGCGAATCAAGCTGTTTTCTGATGCCATGGTACAGTCACAGCACTTTCTCCTGTACGGTGTTGGTGTGACTGGGTGTGTACAGGAGCAGCTGCTGTGATTTCAGGTTGTTTGCAGGGCTGGGTGTGAGGAGCTGTGGGTCAGGGGCTGCTCTCTGGGTGTTTGTGTGTGCACATGGAATGAGCTGTATTGAGAAGGTTCCCTGTGAGCTGTTTCTAGTTCTGTGTGTAAAAAGGCATTGAGCTTCACCTGGATTTCCCATATCACTCACCTAACCCACTCTTCACACCTGCTCCAAGAGCTCCTTTACCTCCTCTGTTTCTGCCATTTCTGCCAGTCTTTGAGCCTGTGGTGGAACCTCCTGCTCTGCATCTTCCTCATTCCCATGTCCACTGATGTGACTCTGGGTGGGTTTCATTGCCGTGCTGTGGTCATGGCACACAGTCCTATCCAAAATGACATGGGAATGTGGTGATCCTGTTGGTGAGACTTCAGACTTTGGGTTTAGTACCAGAAAACCCTGAGACTGAGCAGGTTTTGACCCACAAACCTGCTGGGATTGGGTATCTCACGTAATGGTTTTTTATGGAATCGCTTTAATTGGTGACTTGGAAATGGAACGTCTTTTGTTAGGCAACATCTCATTAGTATAAATTAATTGATACTGTAAACTTGCCCTTTGTACATAGGGTCAGGTTTTTGTCTCCTGCCTTGCTTATGAGCTGCTGAGTAGTCAGTGGCTCCCTTGAGCTGAGTTCTACCCCTGCCTCCTCAGTGCAGTGGTCTGCTGTCAGTTCTCTGGTTCTTGGCTTTTCAGTGGGCTGGGGAGCTTCAGAACCAATTTCCGTCTACAGCTGGGGTGAGACTGAGCTAAAAACCTTGTTTCAAGTGGAACTGCTCAATTTCCTGGAAATTTCCTCCTTAAATGGGAATTTGCAGCTTGCCTTGCAACCCTGACTCTCAAGCTGGTACTTGGGCACCAAACTGTGTTCTCTGTCCATTATTTTGCTATTTTGACATATTTTGTTAATTTCGACCTATTTTGTTGTTTAGGCTGGTACTTGGTTGGTTCTCCAGGTGTTTTCTTACTCACTTTCTGCTCTCCTGGAGGCCTCCCTGAGCAAACCCTGCTGTTGTGTGTCCCCTTGTCCTGCATTATTTGCTCTGGGATGGTGTTTGTCTTTGACAAAGTCAGCAAAAACCTCTTTGCTGTGTTACTTTGGCTAGTGAGAGGTCTCCAACTATGCTGGCCCAAGAATTTCCTGACTAGATAGTTTCCTGTGTGTGTACATGTTCACTTTTTTCAGTTGAGTGTTCTTCCAGTGATTTCCTTGGTAGATGGCTCAGGACAGCTTCCAGTGCGTCAGAGTTTTCCACTTGTGTTCCCTAGCTCACTTCTCCCTCTCTGCTGGGGATGATGCTTCTCAGTGACAGCCACCACTTTAGGGGAGCTGCTTGTTCAGCCCAGTAAGGGATTGAGCCTTGTACCCCCACACCACCTGCCATTTCCATTAAGCCCATGCTCATTCTTTCTGTGTGAGAAATATCTGCTGTCTTTCAACAGGAGGGAAAACAATCACGTAAGGTGGGTTGTTTTCTTCCCATTTTCCATACCTATGAGATGTCTTGGAGCTCTTCTAGCCAGGTGGGACTCTATTTTTTTTTTTCTTTTTCTCCCCTTTTTCCCCCTCCCCAGCTGCTTGGGCGCAGTTTCACGTTTCAGCTCCGTCTGAGGGCTGGCTGCTGCAGGAGGTGGCAGGTACATTCCTGCCTCTTCCCTGCTGCGGGAATCCAGCGCTGGAGCAGCCCCAGGGGAGTGACTCCAGCTAACCCTTCAGAAAAAACAAAAAAATACCCAGGCCCCAAACTTTCCTGGATCTTGCCCTGCAGTTAGAGTTGTTAAATCTTCCACTTGGATGACTGGGATTGCCCTGAGGGGCTGGAGGGGGGGATGGCCCCTTTTGGCAGCACTGGCTTCCAAATTGGCTTTGCTGTCTCCTGATCCTGTGTGCTCGCTGTGCTGCTCAGCCAAGGGTGGGTGCCTTCAGAGAGGGAGGGGATCTGGCCTGGAAATGCCCATTTGAACCAGTCCAGCTCACAGAAACGGCATGGAAAAAGGATAAAATAATTCCCTAAAGCTCAGAGTGAGCAAGACCAGCTTGGCTGGGATGTTGCCATCAGCTTGGCAGCAGGAGGGAGCTGGGGCAGGGAAGGAGAAGGAGACTGAGACCATCCCTTTGGCATGGCTGAGCTGAGGGGTGAAACCACACCCTCGGCCTCACCTGTCTCTGATCACGTCTGTGATTTATACCCTGGGTTCTGCTGTTTAGCTTTCCCCACAGACTCCAACCATTGGATCTGATAATGAACCAAGTGGTTGAGTCTTATTTGTTTAATTCAAAGAGCA